GGAGAGTATGCACTATTTCGTTTTTTTTTTTTCTTAAAGACATTCACTGGAATTTATGTTGACGTGACAGCCTTATCAACATCTCCATCATAAAGTCCTTGAATTGTCTTTAAATAGCGAGTGGAACATTGATAAACATTTTATATTTCATGGCTGACGTGTGAAGGACTCGACCCTGTATTTCTTAACCCACAGAGGCCGAGACATTACAAATACGGTTCTCCTCTCCATTTCACTATTCATTCCCTGTAATCAACTGGACAAGATCTGAGCCGGAATAGTACCGGCGAACCTCATCCAATCTTCTGAGTCTAAGGTATTCACCACCACATGCTAACTCATACTGGGAACCTTCATGGTGTGCGTCTACTTGTTGGGAAAACAATTATCTTGCGTGCTGTCAGTTTTCGATCATTTTTTAGGTTGTTACGATTGCTCGAAAGAGTTCGAGTTCACGAACTACTCCGAGTCCAAGATCAGATTCGAGTCCACGAACGAGTCCGACTTTTCACTTTGGTTATAAGATATAAAAAACTATTGATATTGCTGAGGCCTACAGTGTGACTTTGGACTATAATCGTTGTACATAGCAGCTTTGCTAATTCACTTGTTCATGTTTTCCATACTTTCTAAGAAGCTGCTGTTTGGATCTTCATGATAAAATCAATCCCATGCTTACTTTTACTAGCACCCTTCCTTATGGGAAGCCTAGCTGTGGGAGTAGTTTGTCAACAGACAATACTTGTGTAGTATATATAATTCCTAATACATTTACATCAAGGCTCCCTGGCCATGCTGACGTCACGTGACTTCTTCCCGCCCCCCCAAGGCCAGGTCTCACATGCTTTCAAGCAGGCTTAGAGAGGGGCAGACAGGCTAGGTCTCTCTCCACGACTACCGAATCGCCTCCGTAACAGACCATCGGTGATTTCCTTACTACTGTCTCCCGTTTACCGAACCCCCCATCAAGTTAATGTCTTGCTGTTAGCTGGGGAGAGGGGGGGGTATACCCAAGCTTTCACCACGCATTGAAATAAATGACCCACACGGGTTTAGGGTTCAAACCAATTTAACTTTTCACCTCACCATGACTTTGCAGGCTACTTCAGCTCTGTACATGAGCAAAAGGGAGATGGAAAGATATCTCAAGTAAATGAAGTTTAGGTTGAGAGTGGGAAAGGGGGTTTTGGGTTTGGGAAGAAGGGTGTACGTTGAGGGTAGAGTACTGGAGGTATCAGTTTCGAGTCATATTCTACCGGACTGAGGTCTCTGTCTCTTGGTATGTGTGTATGAGGCTGCAATATCACGAAGGATCACCAACCGGGCTAACACACTTTATCGCGCATTCTTGGAAACTGAATGGTTGAGCTGGACAGTGTTTAACTTGTGTCTCCAAGGAAGCCAATGTGGACAACGCCCTCGACACTCTTGAACGCTGTGGCCATGATTTTTTTTTTTGGTCTAGAATCATGACTTGAACCTCTGGCGGAGAGGTGAAGATACTTTTTCTTAAAAGTCCTCCTGAGTGTACTTATATAGAAGCTTTGTACATAGATCTTTGTGTATCCATGTTCTCTCAAGCTACCCTCCATATGGCGAACTAAAGAAACTGGATCATCAGAAATAAAATCCAAATTTCTTCCATTTGCTTTCATTTTTAATCAGAAATGTTCTTTCTGCTCTTCATAAAATTCTCATTAGAAATTTTAGTATGAAAGGAACGCCTATGTTAAATTCAGTTGTTCATGAAGTGTGACTAAGTTGGTTAGGTTAGGTAAGGTTCCTCAGGAAACAGGACAAGCGTTTCCTGACGCGGGTCTTAGTCAGATGATGACCCGCCTTTGGAGCTTTGGTCATCGGACCGAGGCTTTCCGCTGGCTTACCGGTCCACCCCTTTAAAAATATATAATTACATATTTTTAATATGACTAAGTTTCCCATCACAATAGCCTCTTTACTCTTAGTGATGGTAATGCCGCTGACTACAGACCACGGCTTCCCAGTGTCATCCTTGAGGCTGTCTGCCTAGGTTTTCTGCTGGAGGGAATCATAACCATCCTGTCCTCTAGACGGATTAGTATGGCTAGTCTAGCGCAATTTACCAACGGTTACAAAATACCATGAATGGCCTGCTTACGACAGAGAATATGTTATTATAGTCTCTCAGAGTAATGATATCCTCAAGCACGTGTTAAAGTTGGAGGACCGGATGCTACAACAGGCTTGCTACTTTATACGTTCTTTGAAAATTATTCATATCACATTATTACCAAAGAATATTGTTTATTATAGTTTCATATTTGACTACTATAGTAATGTTATTGGTAAAACCTAAGCGACTTCTTGCGTTGACCGACACTTCTTCGGATGTGGTCATTGTTATTTTTCAATATGGCTATTTTTTTTATGAAGTAGTTAAGCGTTTTATATTGATTTTTATGCTCTATGTCTAAATGAAGTAAATTTTGTCTCAGGAATTTATAGTGCTTTGAAAAACGTTAGATCAAAGTGTATTTTTTAAACATAAGGGAAGACTGATATTCACCAGACGTGAGAACCAATCAGAGCCTTGAAAATAAATGGTATAAAATACAGACACAATGGAAACAAACACATATGCAGTTTAACGTGATCCTTTATTGACAACGTTTCACCCATAGAGTGGGCTTTTTCAAGTCACACACAGATCTGTGTGTGACTTGCAAAAGCCCACTCTGTGGGTGAAACGTTGTCAATAAAGGATCACATTAAACTGCATATTTGTTATGTTTCCAATCAGAGCCTTATATGGTGTGAGGCAATTTACCCCAAATACATTCTATACATTCGAAGTTCTTAAAAGGGTCAAAGCCTTGATCCTCCTTTGGCTGACCGAGAGACTTTTGTTTCACGTTAAGACTCCTTTGTCACTCCTACCGGAGAGTCTACACTGCTGCATTAAGTTTTCCCAAGACGGTGCAATGAACCTCTCATACGTAACTGTCAGCGGGTGGAGTCGACAGCCCTTACGGGAAACCTAGGACTAGGACACTTATGCGGTTGCTCACCAGCAGTCACTGCTGCAGCAGCAGCAGCAGCAGCAGCAGCAGCAGCAGCAGTCCGAAGGACATAACGCCGATACGTAAGCGAAATACACACACATGAAACACATGCTTTATTATGGGTTTTCTTACTCCATAGGAAGCCCCCGAAAGGTTTCCTGATACAGTGTCATAAGTGTTCAATACTGGATTTTATTTCACATTTTGCCAGTATTGTTATACCATACATTTGTGCCGACTCGTATGTGAAAAAAGGGAGATATAACCAGCATAATCCGACAAAGCTTCATTCTAAGCAGAGATTTATTTAACAATGCGCACTTGTAACACCTGTTATCAGATTCAAGATTTATACTCTCGCATCCCATCCAGAGGCCAGACTTTTGTGTTGACCACATGATCAAAAAGGCGTTTTATCCCACGGTTAGCAAGTCTATATAGCTATCAAAACCGAGTCATCCAACCAGAAGTTTATTCAATTATAACAGTACGTGATCTCCAGGAATCACCCCGGACTGGAAATTATAATTATTATATTCATCGCGATGCCCAAAACTCGCACATCATGCAGTTCCTGAGAGAAGATTGGGCAATCAGGTTTGATCTAAGGAAGAAAAAAGTGGCTGTATTTCTTTGAATCAAGAGCATCAAGCCAACTTTGAACGGCCCGAGCTGCAGAACTCGATGATTCTAAATTTTACTCAACGCCAGGGCAAAAAAATACCCAGTGACCAATGCCTCCAGTCCAAGTACAGCCATGCAAGACTCCTGAGACGACACTTGGAGTGGAATGGACGGCCCATACGAGCAACCTAAGACGGTGACATATTATTCATTGCAGTTCGCACAGCGGTTATTGAACAAGCATCGCCCCATTTCTACAGTTGCTGACTTGTGGAGAAGGCGGTCATAAATTATATTTAATACACCACAACAAGATAGCTTGATAATCAGTTCTTGAGAGATTATTACTGTAAAATCCATATAATCTGAAAATGTGCACAGTGCAATATAAATATGCTGCAATTCGCTACTAGGCTTTTTTCAAGCCTACTGCTAACGTTCTACGACGATAATGTCCGCATACTTATTCTCTATGTCCATGTTTGAAACATTTTTCTAGTTGTGTTAGAGTATGTGCCAAGGTAAGATAATTTATCAAATATTTTGCAGTTTGTTAACGACCCTGCTAAATATTTACTAAAACATTCAGTATAAAATGCAGAAGAATAAGTTTTTCACATGACGAAGAATCAAAATCGACATTCGTCGTTGAAATAGCTTGAGAAAGAGGAAAAGTATTTTCGAATAAAGTTTTTAAGACCCTACAAGGTAAATTTTCCAAGTGAAAAACTGCAGAGGTAAAGTTCAGTCTCAGCGAATCGTCAGGACTTGGACATTACTTACATAATGGTAGTTGATGGCAAACTTGGTAACAAGCATCGTGGCACTGCTCATGATTGATAAAGTCTGGTCAGTGCTTCTTGAAGAACAGTATAGATTGGCACGATCTCCAGACCTTTCGACATCTGTCAATAATGTATCTGGAATAAGCTTTCTGGTGCAAGACCTTCAGTGAATCTTGACTTGAACTGGCGATCGCTCTTGATACGATGATTGGAGCAAACCTTTCCTTCCGGTTCAAGAGTTTCTGAAAACATGTCTAGTGTGCTCCATGGATCCCAAGTCTTCTGCTTCCCTTGGTATAAAATATATTAACTTAGACGTGTTTCCTCGAAAACAGGTACCCATTGTCCCGGTGAGAATTGTCACTTGGTATCTTTATTGTGAGACGTTTGTCAACACAACAGGTTCCCTGAGTGACACGGCAAAGATACGGCATAGTTTACGCGATCATCGTCTCCTAGGGGACGTCACGTAGCCCATACTATCATTGCCCTAGGGACTCACGTCCAGAATTTCATCCAGCTCATAGAGTAAACTAATTCAGCCTTAGTAGATGTCTTCTTCCCCAACGCTTTGTTGTATAGTCTTCCGCAAACCCTTCAACCAACACTATCTTCTCCACTTTCATTCACACCATGTTACCAAGACTAAACGTGGCGTCATCACAGACTTCTTCCTACGTGCTCATCGTTTCTGTAGCAGTGAATTCCTGGAAGAATGCTCTTTTCTGGAACGCGTGTTTTCTAAGATTCTGTATTCTTGCCCTTTCATCAGAGATTGCAGGCGATGAGTACACATCTTCTATCCTCCAAGACGAGACGCTATCAAAAGATGTTGTGTGTTATGAGAAACGTTTCTGGAATAAAAGATGCGAAGTGTTTTTCAAATGTCTCATTTATCGACTACCGAAAGATACAGTCCTTCCTAGCAGCTCCATTCTCAAACATGTCTTCTGCATTTTCTCCTACACTAGTTTCCAAGCAACCATCAATGTCACCACTACAGTCCAGTCAAGAACATCACCAGTAAGGGACTCCACCATGAAGTTCAATCCACTGCAGAGTGAATTTTTCTATAAGAATCTCTCAGAGCATATAACTTAACTTAGCTCACAAGCCACTTTTAGATACTTTACAAATTAATTTCTGATGAAAAAATTCTTGTAGTTGAAAGTTAATAATGTAGTTACCAACATAACAGGAAAAAATAAGTTTACAGAGTACATTTACACCGTATGAGTACCTAATAAAAGACTTATCCGGAATTTATGAAATTTCCAGTAAGAGGAAAATGCAATTTACTGTAACGAAATGTAAGAAGTGTACCGAGTGATAAAATATAATTTAAAATGTTAACGGTGAAGTCCCACAAGGATCAACACTGACCGAATAATTTTTAGAAAATATTTGCATGCCCGAAGACATGCAACTACGTACTTAGCTCCCATAACCAAGACAAGAAAATAGAGACTAGACAAGAAAGCCACATATAAATAACATGTCCAATTCTTCAATTTCTCGGCGTTATAAAGCAGATGTTATGATACAAAACTGAAGCTGAAAGAATAATAACAATCAGTTCCTCGAAAAAAAAGTCTCCCGCGTCCTCCGAGGTCATGGGAAGGACATGGGGTCTTCCAAATCCACGTCCATTGTAAGGAACAAGGAAATTTTCATAACCTCTTGACGAGGCATTAACATCCCTTCTTCGTAACAAAAGGAATTTACCATACTGCTATATTTTGGCACATTTTCTTATCCTCATTGCATATATACATATACATGTTACATGCAAACAGATACTCCTCAAAGGTTAAAAACTATGCCAATTGCGAGTGGTTTAAAACATAAACAAACCTTATTGGTGGTGCGTTGTCTCTCGGGCTCGAGTTCGGAGTGGTTAGTCCCGCCCCCCCCGGGTCTTTTCCATGAGGTGACCCGGTATCTCTCGACGCGTTGTCAACCTTCATTTACCTGCAAGGTAAACGAATACTGATTAATACAACGGCCCTGTGGCCTCAGATATACTCTTCAGCTCACGCTTTCATAACCCCAAAGTTTGTACCCTTCAGCAAGCGCATTTAGTAAATATCTCCAGTTATGCCTTTCAGAGTGCAGCATCAGGAAGTCTCTTCACTCACACCTTCAGATAGTAAACCCAGTTATACCCTTCACCTACAAGTATTCTCAATGTATATTTAGAAATTTTAGGGTTTATTAAACAACTATTTGGTTATGCCATATAAATAATCCTTAGTGCAATACGACTTAGATTTTTCATAATCTTTCCACTGTTTATGAGATTCACCTTCCCATGATGATAAATGATGCCAGATGGTGCTGTTGCCCCTAGTAGTGCTGAGGTGACGCTAGGGTTCAGTTGGTGGTGGGGGGTTCCAGGTGGCGTTGGGATCCAGGTGGTGCCGCACCCAAAGCTTTTCATCTAATAATACTTATCGACTAGAAATACTTTTCGAATACGAACACTGTATACGAACACTATTATTGGAAAAATATTTACAAAATTTACAAAATGTTTACAAAAATATTTACAATCACTTTTCCTCTATAAAAACTTTTCATCTACAAATATTTTATCCATCTTCAAACACTCTTCTTCACACACTCATTGTCTACAAAAAAAATTTCCGTCTACAGTCACATTGTCTACTAATACTTGTTCTCTACAAACTCTTCGTCTATAAACACTTTTTTGTTTATAAACACTTTTCATCAAAAAACAATTCGTTTCTAAACACTTTTCCGTCTACAAACACTTCTTATTGTCTAAAAACTCTTTTCCTAAGGTTAGTTACGCAGGTGTGTATATCCAACGCAATTAAACTATCCAGACATTGGAGCTGTTTGTCACCAGTTCACTGCCAAAGATATTCGAATCACTGAAATGGGAATTAAAGTTGACTCTAAGTATGTATGCGCTGGAAGATGTGCGCCTGTATGTGTATAAACGAAGAGAAAACACATCTCTCGTTGTATGAAAGTTTGCTTGTTAAAATGTGGTACCACTGTATGATGAATGTAGTATGGTTGGATCTGTGTTATGTACTGAAAAAAAGAGGTCTGAAAGGTTTTTGATTCGAGCTACTGAATTGTTCCTCAACTGATTCGGAGCTCTGGAGCTGTTCATCAACGGATTCAAACCTGTAGAGCTGTTCCTCAAAGGTTCGCGTCTCTGAATGTATTCCTCAACAAATTCGCGTCTCTGAATGCGCTCTTTAAGATTCGGGGCTCCGAAGAGTGAGCTCCTGACTCAGTGTGTTGGGCCAAGCAGAGATTGCATGGTGGTTGTAATACTTAGGGAAGTACTCTACATCGAGAGGTCAATGTTTCTCCCTGTATATGCACTAAAAGCTTGAATTTTTCTCTAATTTGGGTATTAAAGTATTCATGATTGGTGGTATAATAGGGAGCATCTATCATCAGTGTTCCTAGTGTAATCAATTGACTTTAAACTCAGTTTGATGAGTCTTGGACGCTGCACAATCCGCGAATGGTATTTCCGTATTTTACAAGTCCAGCCCCAATCCTCAACGCACGCTAAAGGAGTAGTGCAGGGCGGTCATAAAATTCTAATGCAAAGAAGATATATAAATATGTATGTTTGTGGTTTTCTATTTACATTTAAAATTCACGGCACTTGGCCAGTGGTGTACCAATTCGCAAAAAGTCAGTAAGACTAAAAACCCGTCATTTTTTTCTCGTCTTGTTGCATTAGCTGATTGCCAGTAGAGTCAGGGAAGTTCTTAATGGCTGGCAGTGTGGTTTTGTGTGCACAGAAGCACACTATACTAAATAGCAAGACTTAGAATTAGGGGGCACTATGACTGAAGTCCTTTCAAGGGAGGAGCTTTGATGTTGGTGAGGGGCTCTTGATCCAAGGAACTTGACTTATCCTCTCCTTCCTTAAATCGAACCTTAATGATTCCCATTCCCCAGGTTCAATATGACCCCTATGAGTTTAGCACTTCCCCTTGATTAAAATAAAAAATACAACTGAAGTATACACATGGGAAATAAGACTACTTAAATGGGATATAAATAACAAATTAAGATTCAGAAAGGATATAGGGAGGTACTGATTTCGTTTTTGAGTTGTAGATGAGTGTAATAAATTCCCTCGTATAGTCTTTGGCATGAAGACTTTTTGAGTAATTTTAAATATAGGTAGAATGAACATATTTGTTGGTGTGACTTGATGTTGGACCTGACTCACGAAATCGTAATACACGATTGCAAGCAAACCATACCACGGGTGGGATCAGAACTCGCTATCAGAGAGTCATAAACCTCCAGACCTATGCGTTAGCCACATTAGGTGGAGATTCGTCTGTAAAAGCTCGCATTTGTGGTTACAGTGGCGCCTATGCTAACCTCCCTATGGTGTATAAATATACCTAGTTTGATGACTCTTCTTGTAGCTATCTGGCTCAGTGGCTAGCGCGTCGGTCTGGAGTTTTATGACTCTCTGATCGTGGGTTCTAACCCCACCCGTGGAATGGTTTCGTTGGGCCTGCCGATCATGGATGTCTTTATTGTTGACTGAAACGTCGCCTACAAGGTAGCCTTCTTTAGTCAAATACAGAGACGAATAAATTGGAGGCAGCTAGAATAGCGGAGAGGAAAAGATGATGTAATCATTACATCAACCTTGGAGACAGTTTTGAGATGGTCAGTCCCTCAGCCTGGAGAAGAGTTCAGCTTCATAGTCTGGAAGAATGTGACTGACCACCTAAAAACTGTTTCTTCAACGCTGATGGACTGATTACATCAACTCTACTTCTCCACTCCAGCTGTCGCCAATTTCTGTGTATTTTCTCTTATTTCAAACCTATCACTGCTCCTTGGTGTTTCGCTTTTGACAGATAAAGTAATTTTAAAATAATCTGTAAAATAAGTTACACAACGGTAAATAACGCTTATTTCATCACATTTTTCTTCAGGAGTAGCGATTATCCCCGAACTTTCGACAGGTGATTGCAATAAACTATTAAGTATGTTATTATTTTACTCATAGTGCCCTGAAAGCTTCCATTTCCTTCTCGTTGTAGTTGCCAGTGAAGATGCCAGACCTTGATAGGTATTTGATCTATAAAGATCAAAGAACTCTGACATATCCTCAGTAAACGTAGAACAGGGCGAGACACCTCAAAAAAAAGTGACATGTTCCTAACTTTTTGATTGAAATGTCATAGGTCAGGGTTAGGCAATGTATCTACATTTCTGTTACATGTCTAATGCCTTTCTCTTTATAATATTCAATTGTGTTTAGATACTTATGAGGGTATTATCTTCTTTGTTTAGTGAATGGGTTATAATACATAACTTAGGCAAGCAAGTGGATGCCTAAAACGTTTAAGGTACGACAGAGACCCGTGCCAGGAAACATTTGCCCTGCTTCCTGACAGGCAGTCCACTTCCGGTCTTTCTCTAGTCAATATTTACTTATCTATGGTTAACTGGCTATTTGATATATATACAGAGTTTTGGTAAACTTTAAACTATAAATCTTTCACTTTTTTACTTGTTATTACCGATTTATTTATTCCCAATAATATTAATTCCCAAACCCACTTCAGTGTGTATCTTACCATCTCTCATTTCCTGCATCCTGCATATATATAAGGTTACCTTAGAGAAATGAGATGTTTTCAAGCAGTGAGAGCAAGAACCAGACGTGATAATGATCTAAGATGAGATAGAGGATTGCTTTATCTACATAACAATGCCTGTTTATAGTTGCGGGAATTTATTTGATGTCATCACACTGCGTTTTTTTTGTTCACTCTAGCTTACATGAATATATTTGCATTTTTATGAATGGAGATGGAACTTTGGGATATTATATATATATATATATTATATATATATATATATTATATATATATATATATATATATTATATATATATATATATATATATATATATATATATATATATATATATATATATATATATATATATATATATATATATTATATATAATATCATATATATATATATATATATATATATAATATATTATATATATATATTGTATATGTATATATTGTTTTATATTATATAAATATATATATATTATTTTTTAATATATAATATATTTATATAATTATATATATTTAAATAATTTATATATATATAATATATATATATATTTATATATTTATATATATATTAATATATATATTATATATATATATATAATATATATATATATGTGTGTGTGTGTGTGTGTGTGTGTGTGTGTGTGTGTGGTGTGTGTGTGTGTGTGTGTGTGTGTGTGTATCGTGACGAATAGGTAAAACTTGCGATTTTGGCTTAAATAGCAACGTTTTTCTTGAACATTAAAATGGTATAAAATACCGACAGGTTGTTAGGTAAGACACATATGCAACAGTTAGGTATCTTTATTTCGAAACGTTTCGCCTACACAGTAGGCTTCTTCAGTCGAGTACAGAAAAGTTGATAGAAGCAGAAGATACTTGAAGACGATGTAATCAGTCCCTCACCCTTGAAGTTTGGAGTGGTCAGTCCCTCAGTCTGGAGAAGAGCATTGTTCCTAGTATGAACAATATGGAGATGAAGTGACAAATGGAGCTTATATAGCACCAAGAGGTGAACGTAGGTCACAGAAGATAAAACCAGATGTTGGAGGTCAGCCTCTCAATCACCGTCTCACTAGTGGAGGTTGTCGAAGTTGATTGCAAGGTCTGTACCAAGATACCCTTGTGTTGCGTGTCTTTACAGATTGACATAAATGGTATAAAATACCGCTGGTATTAGTAAGACACATATGCACATTAGTATCTTTATTTCGAAACGTTTCGCCTACACAGTAGCTTCTTCATCGAGTACAGAAAAGTTGATAGAAGCAAAGATACTTGCAAGAGATGTAATCAGTCCATTCACTGAAGTTTGGGTGGTCTCCTCAGTCTGGAGAAGAGCATTTTCCATGTATGAACATTGGAGATGAAGTGACAATGAGCTAGTAGCGCCAAAGGCGAACGTAGTCTGAAAGTAAAGACTCAGATGTTGGAGTCATGTGTCCCTCTCAAATCAGCCGTTCTACTAGTGGAGTTGTCGAAGTTGATTGCAGGTCTGTACCAAGATACCCTTGTGTTGCAGTGTCTGACAGACACTGTCTGACCGACACTGCAACTGACCTACGTCTCACCTCTTGGCGCTATATAAGGCTCCATTTTGTCACTTCATCTCCATATTGTTTCATACTATGGAACAATGCTCTTCTCCAGACTGAGGGACTGACCACTCCAAACTTCAAGGGTGATGGACTGATTACATCGTCTTCAAGTATCTTCTGCTTCTATCAACTTTTCTGTACTCGACTGAAGAAGCCTACTGTGTAGGCGAAACGTTTCGAAATAAAGATACCTAACTGTTGCATATGTGTCTTACCTAACAACGTTTTTCTTGCCGAATAAGGCAAACGAAAATTTGTGTATACAATAATTTCGCAAAAATCTTTATGAACCTAACGAAAAAAATATATTTCAATGTGTTTGTTTATTATTAAATTATTGTAAACTTTTCTAAAATATATTTAGTTGGATTAGTCTAAATTAAATTGTGCTTGTTATAATAAGGTTAGGTAAGTTTTCTAAGGCTCTTTTGGTACAAAATTATTAATTTTTACAATAACATAAATGAAAAAAATATATCTTTAAACGTATAAGAGAAAATTTTAGAAAGGACTTAATTTTAAATGAGATTTTGCTAATTGACCAATTTTACCTATTTGGCACGACATATATGTGTGCGCATGTGTCTTTGTGTGTATGTGTGTGTGTGTGTGTGTGTGTGTGTGTGTGTGTGTGTGTGTGTGTGTGTGTGTGTGTGTGTGTGTGTGTGTGTGTGTGTTTAATAAATCCCAAAATTTCTAAATATCGTATGTGAGGGTGAAGGGTATAACTGTGTATACTATCTGAAGGTGAGGGTGAAGGGTATAACTGTGTATACTACCTGAAGGTGAGGGTGAAGAATATACCTGGAGACTTCCTGATGGTATATACGTTGAAAAGTATAACTGGAAATTTTGTTGATCAAGAGGTCACCAAAATTTCCTTCTATTTTTCCTTACAATGGCCGTGGACATGGAAGACCCCGTGTCCTTCCTGTGACAAGGAAGGATACGGAAGACCCTC